GCGTGCTCGATGTGCTCGGTGTCGCACTTCGGGGGCGTGGGCCACTTCTTCGGTGTGGTGCCCCTCAGCCAGAACGCGGGGCTTTCCTTGGCCCCGACGTGCGCCCTTCTCGCCAGGCCCTCGGTCTTGAGGATGGTCTCGCAGTCATCTCTGGCGGTGCAGGCGTCCCAGATCCTGTGCTCGTCGTCCTCGGGCCTCTCACATTCGCATATGACCTCCTCGCCGCCGAAGGTCTCGTGTTTCCGTCTACGTGTCCAGGTACCTGCGCACGCCGCTGTGAGGAGCGTAGGTGCCGTGGTGTTCTTTCTTCGCGAGCTGTCCGAGGTGCTTCTTGAGGTCCGTCACGTCTGCGCCATGTTGGAGCCCTCCTCCGTTATGGTGCAGTGCGGCTCTCTCCCACAACTGGTCCTGGATGTCTTGCAGGAGCGCGTCCACTATCTCTGCGTAGTCGCCGCCCTGGTCCTCAGTGCTGAACTTCCAGTAGTTGCCGTTTCTGTCGATCCAGATACCAGGCCCTCTGGAGTCCCAGCCCACTTCCCACAGTGGGAGGAGGAGGCTGGCGAGCGGTCCCTTTCGAGCTTGCCACCTCTTCTCCGCTCTGAGCTTCAGCAGCTGGAAGTAGATATTTGGCCACGCGCGCTTGACCTGATCCCTGATGTCGGGGCTCCTGGCCCAGACCTCGAACCATGTCTTCAGCTGCGCCTTCACCGACGTGATCGCGGGGTCTGCTCCTTCCAGCGCCAGGAACGTGGTGATGCACCTGCCTGGCCACGGGCGCCTCAGCGCCTGCGCATACCTGCGCCGCGCCTTTTGCCTCGCCCAAGGGGCCATGCCGTGTACCGTCGTGCCGTACATGTAGGATGCGACTGCGCCTTGGTGGAGTACGCCTCTCCTCCTCCTCAGCTGCAGCCTCCTCAGCTTCAGGCCCACTGCGCCACAGCGTGTGAACGCGTTCTGCGTCCGCTTCCTGTGCGTGGCCCTCCTCAGTGTACCCTTCGCGCCTCTGTCGATGCCAAGGTCCCTGCCCTCCGTGACGGCCTGGGCCGAGATGTTCTTTGCTTGCAGCGCCTTCTGGACCCTCTTGGTGGCGCGGGAGCTGGAGCTGAAGATGACCGTCTTGTCCGCCAGCGAGAGCCCCTGAGCTTGGAGTCCGTCTCGGAGCCCCTCTGTGACTGCCGTTAGCCCCTTCTCGACTGCCTCTGCGCTGCCCATAATGCGGATGCTGATGTCGTCGAACCAGGCCCTCGGCACCGGCTTGGGCAGCGCCTGCGGGGCCTCGAGCAACCTCGAGGATGGAATAGACCACTGTCTTGGCCAGGTTTTTCGAGTGCCTCGATCCTGCCAGCAACGATCTACCTGCCCAGGTCGGGTTCGAGAATGCCCCTTTCCAGCGTATCACTCTTGTTGCCGAATGCTGCAGCAGCATCATCATCGCCAGCAGGCGGGGGCGGAAGTCCATCCGCAGGCCTGCCTCGATGACGCAGTCGAGCTGTAGGCTGTCGTAGAACTTCTCGATGTCCGCGAGTAAGTTGCCGTGGAAGAGCTTCAGCGCGTCGCAGCACTCGTCGCATATCACTCTCCTCATCGCCTCGCGCAGGCAGCTGTTGCCTGCGACCGCAGCGTCCCATTCCCGCTCCTGCTGCTTGGCCCATCGCCTCACCGCAGGCCTGTGCAGCAGCTCCCAGCAGCGCACCATCTGCGGGAGCAATGCCAGGGCCCTGTCGCCCTTTGCGGGCTTGGGGGCCAGCACCACGATCTCGCACAGCAGCTGCCACGGCCATGCGAGCGCGTGCTCGCATGCGTTGAAGAGCTCGACGATCCTCTGGCGGCCCTCTGGCGGCAGCCTGCGGATGTCCGAGCACACAAGCATGTCGATGCCCTTGCCCTTGTCTGGTTCGCCCCTGAGCGCCTCGTCTAGGTCCTCGAGTGACCTCTCGGCGGCCTGCTCGGCCTTGGCGCGCTCACGTAGCCGTAGTAGGACCTCGGTGTGCTGTTCGTGCTTCATCCTGTCGCAGTTCCAGATGTTGAGGAATGGCTTGGCTTTCTCGTCCACTATCCTGGTGGGGCAGTCGAACACCCCGTCATCTGTGACGACCTCCTCTTCTCTCCTCGGCGGCGGCTTTGTTATTCGGTGAAGGACTCCAGGGTCTCTCTCCGCAAGCGCAAGCCACTGTCCGAAGGCCCTCGAGTTCTCCCTGAGGTCCCTCATGATTGCATTCCTCTTTTCGTCCTCTGCTTGCATTGCCATGCCCTGGGTCACGTCGGTGTCTACATTACTCAAGTCCGCCAGTCGTGTCCTCCAGATCTCTCTGTGTAGCTTGGCCGTGTCCGATGCCTTCTCGCTCGTGTTCGGGAGGCCGTCGTATGCGAGGTGCCTGCCCGTGGCCTCCAGGTGGAACTGCTGCCGCACGTCCTTGTTGCGCCTCCGCAGCCTCACCAGCAGCGACAGGGTGTTCTCGGCTCTGCTCCACCAGTCGGCTCTGCGGTTGGCGTACCTCTCCCTTCTCTCTCATGCTTTTCTTTACCCAAGCACTTGGTGAATCTTCTTGGGTCCCCCCTGCCGCAGTACTTCGCTCGATCCTGAGGGTCGATGTGGTAAGCCATGCAGTAGAGGTGCTCCATCGTATTCATGGTGGCTGCGAAGCTCAGGCTGAGGTCGATGGCCGAGTCGGCGGTCGCCTTGAAAGCGGCGCACTTGGCGATGTACTCAGGTACCTCTGCCTCTGGTGGTGTCTCCGCTGCCATCTCCATCATAGCCCAGAGGTCCCCCATGGCTGTCGTGTCCTGGTACTGCTTGTCGCCCACAGGCGGCTCTGGTGTAGCGGGATCCGCGCTCTGACGCCTGTCGGCGAGGCCTGAGCTGAGTGGCGACGACCTGCCCACCGTCGGCTCGAGGAGCACCGAGGTGGGGCTTGCGATCTGACGCCTGCTTGGGCTAGAGTCACGCGCACCAGTATTCGCGAATCTTCCAGGCGACGTTGAACCCACAGACGGCTCGAGGAGCACCGTTGTGGGATTTGCGTTCTGACGCCCCTGCTGCGTGGACTTTAACTCCAAGTACTGGCCGTTCTCTTCGTGCATCCTGATCTCTTCGGCCTCGGCCTCGAAGTCCAGGTTGGCGTTCACGACTGCCTCATCGCCGTCCATCTGTAGCCTGTGCGCGCTGGGCGGTGTCGACCTGCCCACCGTCGGCTCGAGGAGCGCCGCAGCGGGGCTTGCGATCTGACGCCGGTTTTGGCTGGGGTCTTTTTCGCCAGTATTAGCAAAGCAACCAGGCGACGTTGAACCCACATACGGCTCGAGGCGCGCCGTTGTGGGATTTGCGTTCTGACGCCCCTGCCGCGTGTAGTTCAGCACCAGGTCCTGGACGTGCTCGTCGCACATCCTGATCGCCTCGGCCTCATCCTCGTGGTCCAGGTCTGCGAACACGTCGACCTCTTCGTCGTCCATCTGGTGTCTGTACTCGCCGAACGCGCGGGCCTCTGGGCCGTCTCTTCCAAGTCCACCGTGCCCGCCCAGAGGATCCAGGCCGACGGTGCAGGGGGGGCAAGGTTGGGACGGGGGCCTGGGCGCGTCGCCCTGGCCGACCTCCACGGTCTCGGTGGTCGGGAAGCTGGCCCAGCCTGGCACTGGTGTGAGCGCCTCCCAGCGCTCGTCGTCGAGGAGCTCGGAGTTCTGGCCTCTGCCTTCCACGATCTGCGTGCCTGCAGCGCTTGCCTTGGCCTCCTCCATGGCCTTGGCCTGCAGTCTTTTCTTGGTCCCCTTGCTTGCTGGGTTGGGCGCTTTGCCCTTCCTCGGTGGGTGCGGGAACGCCTTCGGCAGGTTCAGCGTTCTGCACTTGGTCTGTAGTCCTTGCCTTCGGATGGTGAACTTCAGCCCTATGTGTGGCTTCCACGGTACGTCGTAGACGCCCTCGACTCCTGCGATTAGCTTGCTGCCTGCGTCGGTCGTCATCGCGAAGTCGATGTGGGAGGGCTCCTGTTCCGCGAGGAAGCAGGTGCGCTGGTTATCTGGCAGTGAGATGATTGTGCTCGCCCCCATCGCCGTTGGCCAGCCCGTCTCCCAGAATGTCTTCGGGTCGGTGTTGAAGTCGCCGCAGACCACCCGCGCTCCTTGCAGCGTCTTGATGAACGCGGCCAAGGCAGTGAGCTTGCGGCTGTTGATGCCCTCCACCAGCGACTTGTTGCAGTCCAGGTAGAGGCTGATGACTGTGAGCGTCGTCCCCTTCAGGTGCCAGGTGACTGGAGTCCAGTCGCACATGTCGAAGCCCCCTGCCCGATCAGCGCCTCGTCGAATGTCAGCTGCGGCATTCGAGACCGGTCGAGCTCTCGCCATGTGTCTGAAGCTGGTGACGCGCAAGTGCCCCTTGGAGATCACTGCCGTTCCCCCACAGCAGCCTCTCTCTGAGCGTGAGCTATCCCTGGCCGCGGTGCACGTGGCCATGTACCCCATCTTGCACAGGTCAAGCTCCGCGTCCTCGATCCTGGCACGTGGGACGTGCATCTCCTGCAGTGCCATCATGTCGAACCCTTTGCCCCCGATGCCCTGCTGCATCAGCCACAGCCGTGCTGTGGGGCCCCACGTTGAGACGTTGGCGCATAGGAGCGTGCGCTCTTGGGCGGCGGCGTCGCCAACACCCTGCCGCCGTCGCCCCCGCGCGCGCCCCTAGTGCGGCTGGGGGCGCCAGCCCCCGCTGCACCCTGCGCGGCGCGCCTGCTGGCCAGGTATGCCTCGGCCTCGCTGGCGCTGGCGGTGGCGTTGCCTCCTGCTGCCGCCGCTGCCGCTGGGGTGTCCGCCGCCACCGCTGCCGCCTTGGGGCCTGAGGGCTCTCCTGATGCCAGCTTCCTCTTCTTGGCCTCCTGCTGCATGACATTCCGCTTCTCCAACGCCGCCTCCTTGGCCTTCGCGAGGTGCTCCCTCAAGTGGCCTTGGAACTGCTTGGCGTTCTCCTGCATCTGCTTCGCGACCTGGGCCTTGGCCTCCTCGACCTGTCGCTTGGCTTATTCGTCCAAGTCGTCGTCTGCCAGTGCGAACTTCTTGCTGATGTCAGCTGCCAACTGCCCTTCGGTCAACTCGTCGAGCTGCCCCGTCACGAGCTGCTCGATGATGCCTGCCATGGGGCCTTGCTTGCCCTCGTTGTGGATCGCGTCGCACTCCTCCTCTGCCTGCAGCACAGCTTCTGCTCTCTCCTCGAGCAGCACTCTAGCCTTGCGCGCCTCCTCCTCTGCCTTCTGCTTCGCCGAGAACGCCAGGGAGTGCTGCCTCTGCGCTGCTTGCAGTGCGCGCGCTGCTGTGGCCATCCTCTCGGCCCTCGGCTTGGGCGGCGACGTCGTCCTCGCCGCCTGCAATGCCGAGGCCGCCACCTCGATCTGCTCGGTGATTGTTGCGCTTCCCTCTATCTGCAACTGTCCTAGGGAGGCGGTGATCCGCTGCAGTGCCTGAGTCAGCTGCTCTGGGCCCTTGCCCTTGCCGCTCGCCTTCCCGCCGCCTGTGCTGCCGCCGCCTTTGCGAGTCGCCTCCTCCTGCGTGGCCTTGGCGACCCTGGGCTTCGGCAGCATCTTGTTGCAGGAGCTGCCGCGGTACCCCATGTTCTCCAGCTTGGAGTTCCACCGCCACTCGCCGCACGACTTGCAGACGGTGCACTCGGCTGGCCGTCCCATTCCTGCAAAAGTCGGCGGCGTGCTGCCGTGGTGCCTCTCCAGCAGCCTCGCCCTGAGGTCTCTGCGCGCCTCTGCGCGCGCTCGACGCTCGCGCCTGTGCCGGGCGGGCGAGCGCTCGCGCTGCGCCGTCCTGGCGGCGGCCGCGCTACCTCCTCCTCCGCCTCTGGACGCGCCGCCTGGCGCTGGGGGCCCCGACGGCGCGGGCCCGCGCGCGCCCCCCCGCCGGGCAAACGGCTCGCGCGGGCCTCGCTGCGGAGCCACCTAGGAGGAGGAGGGGGAGGAGGAGGAGGAGGAGGAGGAGGAGGAGGAGGAGGAGGAGGAGGAGGAGGAGGAGGAGGAGGAGGGGCCCGTCTCGGCGGCGGCCTGAGCCCGCCTCTCACGCGGCCAAGCACTGCCTGCAGCTAGTGAGACAAGCATCCCCCCAAACGCCGACCGCGCGGCGCTGCCTCCAGTTGCCGCGGCGAGGCGCCGAGAGCAAAGGCGTCGATCTTACCCTCCCCTCCTTCCCCGCAGAAGCGCCCATCAGCGCGGCGCCGCTGTGGGGCGTGGGGGGCGCCATCGAATTCTCCCTAGAATCCCCCAGCGCCGTTCAGGGCGGGGACGTCAGACTAAGATGTCGCGACTGGGCATGGCCCAGTTCGCGGGGGGCGGCGGATCCCGGCCTCGCTCAAACAAGAATGCAACGTTAGCAGAGAGTTTGCCCCGTCGTCGACCTGGGCCAGGGCATGCCCCGCAGATGCCGAACTGGGGGGGGGGGGGGCCGTGCCCCGGCGACCCCCGGGCGAACATCGGAGCACTGATGGGCAGCGTGGCCGCGGGGCGAAACCTCGTACCACGGGCGCAGACAACTGCGGCGAGACCCCTACGAAGATTGATCAGCCGCCTCCCGGAAGCCCCAAGGACCTGCTGCCCGATGTTTCCTGCAGCAAGGGCACCGCGGCGTTCAAGACACGACGCAATGGAATATTGCTGCGAAGCCCTTGCGTGTCTAACAACTTCGCCGTGCAACAAACTGTGCTGGGCCACTCGCTTGACACTGGTGGCCCCGGCAGCCCCCTGCCCCCCCCCCCCCCCCCCCCCTCCGTGGCAAACGCCCAACTCGGCACCTTGGAGCGGAGCGCGCACGCGGCATTCCTTGGCACGCATTCTCCCGGCGATCTCCTAGCCGCCCTCGTGGAAGCAGCACGGCGCGATGGATTCTGGAGGCGCGCCAAGATGCGGCGCCCTAGAACAGGGTGCGACCGCGACATCTTGGCCATCGCAGAGGGCGTCGTGAATTTGGCCCGCCGCGCGCCTCCTCGGAAGCATTGAACGGTAGACCTGTTGACAGCAAACGGAGAACACGCGCGTCCACGTTGCTCAAGGGCGCGCGCCGCGACGCACTGAGCGAGCTCCATGTGCAGCACCGCGGGGGGCGGGGGGGTAGCTTTGACGCAAGGCCGCCCTGGCTAGAACATCCCATCCGATGCCGTCGTAGAAGCCTCTGATGTCCAACGTTTCCCACTGAGAAGCTGGAGCCATCCCGCGACCTCGCCCGCGAGCGCACAGTGGAAGGCCTAGACCAGCGAGCCGTTGCCGCGCACTGCGGTGCCCCGATTTGTCTCGACCAAGCCGCGCCAATCTCCTGCGTGCTGTTCTCAAATTCCTGACCAAATGCGACCCGCCATCGGACTCGAACCAATATTTCTGCCACCTCCGACTTTCTTAGGAAGCAACTTTGGACGGAAGATTTGCGTCTGATGCGGCCGCGTGAGAGTTGCAGCGAAGGTCTCCAGCAAATGAGCACGCCCGAGTGCCGCTCGGCGGCAGCCTCTCCATGTCCAACGGCGAGTGCCTGTCTCGGCACAAAGCCGAGTTCTGCCGCGCAAGCGATGCGCCGCCAGGTGGGGTCCAAGGGTTCATCGCGGGCGGCCTGGGCAAAGTCGAAAAACCATCTGCTGAACGAGCATCAGCACCATTGCGACGGCTTCCTGAAGTCCAAAGCTGTTGCCATTGACTGTGATTACTTTCCAGCGCGTCTTCTGGATGGACGAGCACATTGCTTCCTGCAATAATTTCCAAGCTTGGGGGGGGTACTTACGCGTGCTCCGATGCAGCGCGCCGGCCGCCGCCCGCTTGGATTTCCACTCTGAATTCGGACAAGGAATCATGTGCCGCTCGGCGATGAGCTCGCTGCGACACCTTCGACGCCTACACCTGAAAACTCTAGATGGCCCCCCCTTTTGGGTGCCCGTGACGCTCAGCTGTCGGCTCACCTGCGCCTCGATGCTGGCGTCCATGCTGGGCTGCAGGGCCTGAGTATGAGAGTCGCCGGGCTTGTGTGAAACCAAATGCGCGCGACTGGACAAGCCGCGCCACCTGCTTGGCGCAATTCCCCCCCCACGCGCCCGCCTGCAATGCAGCGCCTGCGCCGTCGCCGCATGCTTCCGCCAGCAGGCCGCCAGATCCCTCGGCGGGGCAGCTCGCGAAGGCGCGATCTGGCGCGCGCTCTCGATGGCCGAACAGCGCCCAGCCGACCGCGTTGCTCCGCCTGGAAGTGGGGCCCATTACCGCGCTCACCCACGGAGAATTCCAAGTGCCGGCGACATCAGCGCGGGCAGGAGTGGACGAGAAGGCTACGGAGGAGCAGAAATGGAGGGGAGGTGGAGCCACTTGCCAAATCTCATGCGCGGCACGAGCTCGCCGCCACAACTAGTCAGGGGCGCAGGGCGCGGGCGCGACCTTCTCTCCTGGCGTGCCCGAGGGCCCGGGCTCTACCTGAGGCGGTTCGCGCCTCGTGGCCGGGGGTGGCCCGGAGCAGACGCGATCCGCAGGCCGCGCTGAAACGGGGCGCTAGATGACAGATCCCTCGCACGACGAAGCAGTACTTTGCACAGCCACGGCGAAAAGCTGGACCCCTGCGCCCGCGGATCCTCCTCGTCTGGGAAGTCATGGAGCTCGTTGGACCCACCGTCCTCAAGAAGATCGTTTGCATCCCCCGAGGCCCCCAACTCCGTTGTGGAACAGGGAATCGAAATGTCGCCGAGACGATTCGACGTTGCCAAATCATCCTGCGTCATAAGATCCTCCTTGTGAAGAGACCGCGCCCAGCGTCTCCACTCCTCCCTCTCTCTCTCTCTCTCTCTCTCTCTCTCTCCTCCTTTTCCGCCTCTTCGCCCCCTTTCCCCCTCCCCCCGCCCCTGCCTTTGCCCTCCGCGCCAGTCGAAGATTTCGGCGCGCCCCTCGCCCTTTCCGTGGCCCCATTGGGGAGCCCCACCGAACCGAAAGACCCGGTGGCTGCGTTTTCGCTTGCGCCTACCGCGCCCATTTCGGCACGCCCCTCGCGCGCTTCGTGGCCCCGTGGGGAGCTCCACCGAAGAGTCCAACGGCTGCGTTCGCACTCTCCCACCGCCCCCATTTCGGCACGCCCCTCGCAAGGAGCTCCAAAGATAGCCCCAGCGTCTCCGCTCGCGTGTGCCCACCGCGCCTAATTACATTGGCGCTCCTCGCACGTTTCGTGGCCCCGCAGGAAGCTCCTACGACGGCTGCAGCGGATGCGTTCACAACCCGCCGCGCCCATGCTGGCACGCGCATCGCGCCTTTCGTGGCCCCGCAGGGAGCTCCGACGAATGCCGCAGCGGCTGCATTCGCATGCGCCCTCCGCGCCGCTCAACCATTTCGGCGCTCCCCTCCTCCTCGCTCTCCTCTCCCCCCGTGTCCTCCTCCGATTCTGCCTCTCCTCCCTCGCGCCCCTCCGCTTCTGCCCCGCGCGCCGCTCATCCATTTCGGCGCGCCCCTTACCCGCTGCGTGGTCCCATTGGGGAGCTCCGCCACAGACCCCAATAGCTGCGTTCGCATGCTCCCACCACATCCATGTCGGCACACTCCCCGCGCGCTTCGTGGCCCCATCGGGAGCTCCACCGAAGGCCCCAATGGCTGCGTTCGCATGCGTCCGCCGCGCCCATCTCGGCACGCTCCTCGCACGCTTCGCGGCCCCGTGGGGAGCTCCATCGAACGCCGCAATGGATGTGTTCGCATGCGCCCAGCGCACCCGTCTCGGCACACCCTGCACACGTTTCGTAGCCCCGTAGGGAGCTCCAACGACGGCCCCAGTGTTTCCACTCGCGCGCGCCCACCGCGCCCATGTCAGCACGCCACTCGCACGCTCCGTGGCCCCGTAGGGAGCTCCAACGACGGCCGCAATGGCTGCGTTCGCAAGCGCGCCGCGCCCATGCTGCCACGCGCATTTCACCTCGTGGCCCCACAGGAGCTCCAACGAATGCCCCAGTGGCTGCGTTCGCACGCGCCCACCGCGCCCATTCCGCAGGCCCCAATAGCTGCGTTCGCATGCTCCCACCACATCCACATTGGCACACCCCTCACACGCTTCGTGGCCCCACATGGAGCGCAACCGAAGGCCCCCGCAGCGGTGTTCGCACGCGACCGCCCCGCCGAGTTCGGCACGCCCCCCGCGCGCTTCGCGGCCCCATAAGGGACGCCACCGAAGGCCCCGGCGGCGGTGGTCGCGCGCGTCCGCCCCGCGCATTTCGGCGCATCTCTCGCGCGTCTCGCGGCCCCATATAGGGGGCGCCCCCGGGGATCTCCGGCGGCGGCGCGCCCGCGCGTGCCCGCCCAGCCCCGCGCGCTTCGCGGCCCGAGGGGGGCCCCGCCGAAGGCCCCAGCGGCGGTGCTCGCGTGCGCACGCCGCGCCGATGTCGCCACATTCTTCACGCTCTTCGTGGCCCATCCACAGCGGGCCCCGTGGGCGCGCGCGAACGCAGCCACCGGGGCCGTCGGTGGAGCTCCTTCAGGGGCCGCGAGGTGTGTGAGGGGCGTGCCGAAATGGGTTTCGGTGGGCGCGTGCGAGCGCTGGCGTTTGGGCCTTCTGCGGGGCTTCCGATGGGGCCGCGAAGCGTGTGGGGGGCACGCGGCCGAGCGCAGCCACTGGGGCCTTCGGTGGAGCTCCCCCTATGGGGCAAAGAAGCGTGCGAAAGGCGTGGTGCCAAAACGAGCGCGGTGGGCGCATGCGAACGCCGGCATGTGAACCTTCGGCGGGGCTCCCCGTGGGGCCACGAAACGTGCGAGTGGCGTGCCGAAATTGGTGCGGCGGGCGCCTGCGAGCGCAACCACTGGGGCCGTCGGTGGAGCTCCCCACGGGGCCGCGGAGCGTCTGACGGGTTTGCTGTAATGGGTGCGGCGGGCGCATGCGAACGCAGCCACTGGGGCATTCGGTGGAGTTCCCGATGGGGCCGCGGAGCGTGTGAGGGGCGTGCCAACGTGAACGCGGCGGGCGCGCGCGAGCGCAGCCACTGTGACCGTCGGTGGAGCTCCCGATGGGGCAACGAAGCGCATGAGGTGTGCGTGTGTGTGTATTTGTGTGTGTGTGTGCTTGTGTGTGTATGTGTGCGTGCGTGTGTGCGTGCGTGCGTGTGTGTGTGTGTGTGTGTGTGTGTATGTCTGTGTGTGTGTGTGTGTGCGCCGGTGTGCGTGTGCCAAAACTACTGTGGTGGGCGCGTGCGAACGCAGGCAAGTTGGTTTTCGGTGAAGCTCCTCATGTGGCCTCGAAGCGTGCGACGGGCGTGCCAACGCGGGCGCGGTTGGCGCAAGCGAGCGCAGCCACCGGGGCCGTCTCTCTGGGGCTGCGAAACGTGTGAGGGGTGTGCCAAAACGAACGCGGCGGGCGCATGCGAACGCAGCCGCTGGGGCCATCGGTGGAGCTCCCTATGGGGCCGCGAAGCGTGTGAGGGGCGCGCCAGAATGGGCGCGGCGCGCCCGCGCGCGGACGCTGGCACTGGGGCCTTCGGCGGAGCTCCCCATGGAGCCGCGAAACGCGTGAGGGGCGCGCCAAGATGGTTGACTGGTGCGCGGGGCAGAAGCGGAAGGGGACGAGGGGGGAGAGGGGGGAAGGAGGCGGGAACGCAGGGCGCTGTCAACGAGGTCCCGACGCCACAAGATGGATGGGAACAAGATGTAGGAGATGGCAGACTCGCTGACAACGGCGCATTCCAGCAAGATGCCCTTCTCGCCAACGTCGCGTGAGAGGGCGACGCCGGGCGCGATGGCCCGGCCGCCCGCCTGGTCGACGCAGCCCGCGGCCTCGGGGGAAGCCTGGGGCGCGAGCGGGGGCGAACCGAGCTTGCGGCGCCGACTGAGGCCGCGCCCCGCCGCGCCGACGGAGGCCGCCGCGCAAAAGGAAAACGATACAATATGACAAGCCTTCGCCGCGCACCCTAGTCGAAACCAGCCCGGCCAAGGCCTGCCTCCCCACGGCCTTTAGGGCGGCTGTGCTCCTGGCCTCGGCATGCGACTCCACGCGCAGGCGGCCTCTCGAGAAAGAAAACGCGCCCCCGCCCTCACTGGCCCGGTCAGAGTTGGACTTCGAGGTGGGGCGCCCGGATGGGCGCGCTGCATTCCTGAGAAGACGAAGAGCGCGCCGTCGAGCACGAGCACCCCGCTGGCGTGGCTGTGACCCACCCACATGAGTCTCCACGCGCCGCACTTACTCGCGCAACTTGTCGCGCTCCTCCAGAGACGTTCAAGCTCTGTCTCCCAGGGCTGTGACGCGGCTGAATAAAATTCTAGAACCGACGACTGGCTTGGGCTCGGATCTGCCCATGTCCCCGACGTTCGGCATCTGGGAGGCCTCATCGTCGGGGGCCGCCAGTCAAGCGGACTTATTGCCTCTTGCCTTGCACGGGTTACCCGTGGCGCCGCCCTTGGCCGGCTGGAAGGCCGCCTGCGCCGCCGCGGACTCGGGCGCCAACAGGTTGACCGCCCCCGCTTGGACCGCCGACGGCTCCAGGCGCGCCGCCGAGGCCCCTCCTGCGCTGCCTGCCTGCAGGCTGCCTGCCGCCCAGCGGGCTCCCGGGCCGCCTTCGGACGGCGCGGCGGCAGCAGGTGCCGCTGCGGGGCTGCCAGCTGGGGGCACCTGAGGCGCCGCGCCATCCACGCGTTGTTCATTTCTAACCGTCCCATTTCTAATTGCGCTCGCTTCTACTTGTTCCTGGCCCCCTAGTGGCCGCGAAGAGGCCCATGATAGAACAACTAGAAATGAAAGGATCTTGGGCCCCAAAAAATTAAATAACTTCCGAAGAAGTAGAAATCAACAATGCGTGCAGAGGCATGGCCAGCTTCGCCGCCGCTGGCATCGGCTGCGACGTCGGCTGCCCCGCCATCGTTGGCCTGCCGCCTCTCGGCGGCCAGCTCGGCGGTGTCCGCCTTCGCCTGCGCGGCCGCGCCCAGCCGGGGACTGGCCAGCGCGCTCTCGTTGGCGGAGGTCTACTTCATCTTGAGCAGCTCCGCGTGGATCTGCTTCAACTCACTCTTCTCCGCGCCCTCGCACTCCAGGTCGTCGACGTCTGCGAACAAGGCCTCGCCCCAGGTGGCCTAGAGGCCTGCCCCGTGGGGCCTTCCGTGGCCTCGGGCGAGACCCCGAAGCCCTCGGCGCGCGCGACTGCCTCCGCCGCTCGATGCTTGGCAATATCCGCCGTCGCCAATGCTAGGGCAGCTGCCTGCTCTCTGCTGGCGCCGACTACAGGGCCCTCTGAAGACGCGGGGCATTGGCAACGGCTTGGTCATGCTTGCGACTGCAGGCCCACCGAAAACCGCCCGCCCTCTGGAAGCTGGACGACGCAGTCTGCTTGGGCGACTCCGGGGGCGCCCGTGGCGGCCCGATGCGAGATTTGAGGAGGCTGCGCAGCTCAGGGTCTAAAGACTGGTGACTGGCTTCGACTAGGCGGCCCGTCGCGGATGATGGCCCCCCCTCGGTCGAACTGCGAACTGGCCAGGCATGCGCGCCCTCGGACCCGCAGATGACCTCCTCTTTGTCTGAAGAAAGGACGCGCGATTGGGCGAATGAGAACGAAAGGGGAACTCTCTTCGGCTGGTCGAGCTTGGCTGGGCGGCCACGCGCACGCGCGCGCTCGGCCTCCTGCAGAGTGGCCCGCCGCGCGCAACGCCCGCGGCCCGCGCGCCGGCTCCAGAGGGGGCGACGCAAACTGCAGACATCTTGCGCGCTGGGGGAGCAAACTCTGCTTTGGACAGCGACGGCCTGCCTCCTGGCGCGGGGGGGGCTCTGTTCGCTGTGCCTCGAACGCCTCTTCTGGGCCTGGATGCCTTGGGCCAGAACGGTTGAGCCCGACTGTCTACGGGCAGGAGGGAATACAGAACATTTAAAGAAGGAAAGGGAGGAGGAGGACGAGGAGGAGAGGGAGGAAAAAAGAGGAATCGGAATCGGAACAGACGCGAAGCGCCACATCTATAATGGAGCACTCCACCCCCTGACCACGACGAGGCTCGCGACGACCAAGAAGCCCCGCTTCAGGACAAAGGAACCGTTCACCATATTCCGCACGACGCTCATGTCCCTCCAACTGCCGATGCTCAGAAACGGGATGATATACTCGAGACAAAATGCCCAGACTGGGAACACACATGTCTACAATTGCCACCGAATTAACAAACACCAGCCCAGCGAAAAGCAAGTAGTGCTGATGCCATCGCCAGAATAGCAGGACACACAGGCAATTCAAATCCATACATACGAGATGTACGGACTGATCCAACAATGTGAATGCCCCTTGCCACCACACAGCGTGCGTATATAAAAGCACCAGACGCAAGGAAGGAACGTTGGTGTTCGTCTGCCTTGCTTGCACACTGGGCCTGGGCCAGCCTCAGCCAAGATACAGCTAAGACCGCGCACCCGTTGCTGTGGAGAGACTCTGACAACTGTGGGGCCCCGAACAACATGCTTCGGCGAAACATGTACTGTGCATCCTTTTCATGCTTACTGCTGCTTGCAATTCTCATCTAATGGACTGCTTCCGGGCGGGTGTGAGACGGGTCTCGGAGGAGGCTGGCCTGGGGACCCCACCGCCTGTTTCAGCGCAGCGAGGACATCAGGCGAAAACAGGATGGCCGCCCGACTGCCATCAGTGTCACCGCTTGCGTGTCCAGAAATAGCGGCAGCAGCATCCCATGGCTGAAAAAAACACCCGCCGCGAACGCGGCGCCCTTGCGAGGAGCGGAGAGCACGCCGAACATCTCCTCTACCCTCCCCTCGGACTCCTCCTTCACGACGGCACTGGGCGAGCCCCTGGGATGCTCTCCAAGGCCTGCATCAGGGGCACCGACAGGGACTTCCACCTCCAACTCGCCGCTCACCTGCCACGCCCCGCTATCCTGCCACAGGGCAGCTTTTCTCTGCATGTGACCCAATGATGAAACTGCGGTGCGCTGGGGGGCCGATGCTGCTGCCAGCGACGCGCCAGCCTGCTCGCCCTCAGGCGCCACGCCTGGATGGGATTCAAGACAGCCTCCAGCAGCTGCACCACCGGGCTTGCCAGCCAACATCTGGCGGATCGCATGGGCGAAGCTCGTCAGGCCCTAGCCCCTGTGCCGTTCCACCTCCGTGGTGGCGTGCAGGAGCCGAGTGGCTGCGCGCCCTTCCGCACGTGCGTACTGAGCGCGGCGCTCAGCAGCCGTGCGATTGAGCCTCGCGAGGAGGAGGAGGAGGAGGAGGAGGAGGAGAAGGAGGAGTAGGAGGAGGAGGCGGAAGAGGAAGATGAGGAAAATGGAGGAAGGAGGAAGGAGGAACGAGGGGTGAGAAAGGATGAAGGATGAGGAGAGAAAAAGGAAGAGGAAGAAGAGGCGGAGGAGGAGGAGGAAGAGAAGGAGCAGGAAGAGAAGGAGGAAGAGGAGAAGGAAGAGGAGGAGGAGGAGGAAGAGAAGGAGGAGGAGGAGGTGGAGGAGGAGGAGGAAGAGGAGGAGGAGGAGGAGACGGATGGACGAGGAGGGAGGACGAGGAGGGTGGGAAGGAAGCAGGAAGGAGGAAGGATGAGAAGGATGAGAGAGGAGGAGGAGGAGAGAAGAAGGAGGAGGAGGAGGAGCAGGAGGAGCAGGAGGAGGAGGAGGAGGAGGAGGAGGAGGAGGAGGAGGAGGAGGAGGAGGGAGGAGGGGATGAGGAAGGGGGAAGGGGGGATGAGGAGGAGAACGAGGAGGAGGAGGAGGAGGAGGAGGAGGAGGAGGAGGAGGAGGAGCAAGAGGAGGAGGAAGGAGGATAATCAGGATGCGCCACCACCTGGAGGTCCGGGCCTGCGTAAGACCCGTCTGTCATGCTCAGCAACGTGCGGGACCTCAGGGCCCTCGGCCTGAGCGCATGCAACGAGCCCGAGCCCGAACCCGACACGACGAGGGACTCGGACGGGCCGGTGTCGAGCGCCCTGCCATGAGAGTTCTCGAACTGAACGTGGCCCTGGCGGGGAGGAGGAGGAGGAGGAGGAGGATAAGGAGGAGAGGAGTAGGAGGAGGAGGCGGAGGAGGAGGAGGCGGAGGAGAAGGAGAAGGAGGAGAGGAGGAGGAGGAGGAGGAGAGCAGCAGCAGCAGAAAGAGGGAGGAGGAGAGGAGGAGGAGGAGGAGGAGGAGGAGGAGGAGGAGGAGGAGGAAGAGGAGGAGGAGGAGGAGGAGGAGGAGGAGGAGGAGGAGGAGGAGGAGGAGGAGCAGGAAGAGGAGGAGGAGGAGGAAGAGGGGAGGAGGAGGAGAGGAGGAGGAGGGGGGAGGAGGAGGAAAGGAGGAGGAGGAGGAGGAGGAGGAGGAGGAGGAGGAGGAGGAGGAGAAGGAGGAGGAGGAGGAGGAGGAGGAGGAGGGAGGGGGAGGAGGAGGGAAGACGAGGGGTAGGGAGGAGGATGAGAACGAGGAAGAGGGAGGATAAGGAGGAGGAGGAGGACGAGGACCAGGAGATAGGACCAGTGTTACCACAACACTCTTCTGCAATATACTCGGAACTCGGAACTCGGCCTGCGTCTTGCACCGCGGGGGTGCTGCAGGGTGGGGCCGGAGCGCCCGGCACGTACTGGCGTGTGAAACAAAAGTAAAGCGTTGCTACACAGCGAGAGGGGAAGGAGGGAGAGGGAAGCTGGCCGGCCGCTCAAAACGAGGCGGACAGATGGATGCTAAAGTCGGGAAAGTACAAGCCCTACCCATATTCACTTCTACTGATTGAAAGAGGTGCCCCTGTTGAAAGCAATCGTCTGCAAATCCTGAACCGCTGAACAGTGCCAGAGCACCATTCTTTGGACTTCAAGAATGCGAATCGTAACTGTTACGTCCTAGCCGTCCTACATCGTGCCATAACACCATCCCTGGGACGCCAACCGTAAGAACATGTGAGCATGTTGTAATCTCCCACCACGGATGCGCGCAACGCTACGGCGAGACCACCTGTTGAAAACGAACAGCCTTCCATCCGTGAAACTCCTGCGAAATTTCAAGATGATGGGGCACGGCGCTACGGCGAGATCCACATGTTGAAAAAGATCCGCCCTTGCGGCCATGAAACACTTGCGAATGTTTAACATGAGTGTGCGCGGCGTTGAAACGAGAACCGTAATTTGAAAACGGCACGCCCTCCATCCGTGAAGCCGCTGCGTCGTGCAATCGTAAGGGTCACACCTGGTGAGGTAGTCCCAAACGAAACGCCCTGCCGCACTACCGACACGCCTCGGGGCGCGACAAGGAGGAGTTCTTAAAGGAAAGCAGGTGGAGGAGGAGGAGGAGGAGAAGGAGGAGGAGGCGGAGGAGGAGGAGGAGGAGGAGGCGGAGGGAGGAGCGAGGAGGGACGAGGAAGGAGAAACGAGAAAGGAGGAGCGAGGTGGAGGAGGGAAGGAGATGGATGAGGGAGGAGGAGGAGGAGGAGGAAGAGGGGCGCGAATGAGGGAGGAGAAAAAGGACGAGGACCAGTCTCCCTCCAAACTCCCTCCTTCCAAGTTTCCGCCTATGGGCTCCTCAACAAATCTCTTTTCACTTCGGGGAACCCAGTTGGAAGGAAACCGTTTGAAAATCTCAAACCGTGCCAAAGCTCCGTCCATTCCGGTGACATCTTGCGCCCACCGCGCCCATGTCAGTACGCCCCTCGCACGTTTCGTGGCCCTATGGGGGGCTCCGCCGATGAGCCCGATGGCTGCGTTTGCACCCATCTCGGCACATCCATCACACGTTCCGTGGCCCCGTAGGGAGCTTCAGCGACAACCCCAGCGTCTCCGCTCGCATGCGCCCACCGCGCCCACATTGGCACAATCCTCACACTTTTCGTGCACCCGCAGGGAGCTCCAACAACGGCCCCAATGGTTGCGTTCACAAGCGCCCGCCGCGCCCATGCTGGCACGCGCATCGCGCCTGTCGTGGCCCCACAGGGAGCTCCAACGAATGCCCCAGTGGCTGCGTTCGCATGCGCCCTCCGCGCCGCTCAACCAGGTCGGCGCATCCATCCTCCTCGCTATCCTCTCCTCCCGAATCCCCCTTCTGCCCTGCAAGCCAGCCATCGATTCCGGCGCGCCCCTCACCCGCTCCGTGGCCCCATGGGGGGCTCCACCGCGGGCCCCAATAGCTGTGTTCGCACGCTCCCACCACACCCATGTCGGCACACCCCTCACACGCTTCGTGGTCCTGTAGGGAGCCCCGCCGAAGGCCCCAACGGCTGCGTTCGCATGCGCCCACCGAGCCCATCTCGGCACGCCCCTCGCACGCTTCGCGGCCCCATAAGCTCCATCGAATGCCCCAATTGATGCGTTCGCATGCGCCCACCGCACCAATTTCAGCACACCCCTCGCACGTTTCGTGGCCCCGTAGGGAGCTCCAACGACGGCTCCAGCGTCTCCGCTCGCGCGCGCCCACCACGCCCATGTCAGCGCAACCCTCGCGCGCAAGTGGCCGCGTTTGCAACTGCCCGCGGCGCCCATGCCGGCACGCGCACCTCACCTTTCGTGGCCCCCCAAGGAGCTCCATGCCCCAGCGGCTGCATTCGCATGCGTCCACCGCGCCCATTCCAGCGCGCCCCTCACGCGCTTCGTGGCCTCACAAAGAGCGCGACCGAAGGCTCCGTAGCGGCGTTCGCGCGCGTTCGCCCCGCCTACTTCGACGCGCCCCTCGCGCGCTTCGCGGCCCCATAAGGGGCGCCACCGAAGGCCCCGGCGGCGGTTGTCGCGCGCGTCCGCCCCGTCCATTTCGGCGCATCTCTCGCGCGTCTCGCGGCCCCATAAAGGGGGCGCCCCCGGGAATCTCCGGCGGCGGCGCCCCCCCGCGCGCGCCCGCCCAGTCCCGCGCGCTTCGCGGCCCCAGGGGGGGGACCGCCGAAGGCCCCAGCGGCGGTGTTCGCATGCGCTCACCGCGCCCATGTCGTCACACTCCCCATGCTTCTCGTGGCCCACCCAAAATGGGGCGCGGCGGGCGCGCGAACGCAGCCGCCGGGGCCGTCGGTTGAGCTCCTTCGTGGGCCGCGCGGTGCGCGAAGGGTGTGCCAAAATGGGCGCGGCGCGCGCATGCGAACGCTGGCATGCGGGCCTTCGTTGGAGCTCCCGATGGGGCCGCGAAGCGCGCGGGGGGCGCGCCAATGTGGGCGCGGTGCGCGCGTGCAAACGCAGCCGCTGGGGCCTTCGGCGGAGATCCCCGATGGGGCCACGAAACGTGTGAGGGGCATGCCAATGGGCGTGGTGGGCGCATGCGAACGCTGGCATGTGAGCCCGCGGCGGAGCTCCCCGTGGGGCCACGAAAGGCGCGAGGGACGTGCCGGCATGGGCGCGGCGGGCGCGTGCGAGCGCAGCCGCTGGGGCCGTCGGTGGAGCTCCCTCTTGGGCCGCGGCGTGCGAGGTGCGTGCCAAAATGAATGTGGTGGGCACGTGCGAACGCTGGCACGCGGGCGTTCGGTGGAGCTCCTCATGTGGCCTCGAAGCGTGTGAAGGGCGTGCCAATGTGGGCGCGGTGGGCGCATGCGAACGCAGCCGCCGGCGCCTTCGGTGGAGCTCCCTATGGGGCCGCGAAGCGCGTGAGGGGTGTGCCAAGACGAAGGCGGGGGGCGCGTGCGAACGCAGCCGCTGGGGCCATCGGTGGAGCTCCCAATGGGGCCGCGAAGCGTGTGGTTGGGCGCGTCGCTATGGGCGCGGCGCGCGCGCGGGCGCTGGCACTGGGGCCTTCGGCGGAGCTCCTCGCGGAGCCACGAGACGCGCGAGGGGCGCGCCGCAGAAATTGACTGGCGCGCAGGGCAGAAGCGGAGGGGGGCGAGGGGGGAGAGGGGGGAAGGAGGCGGGGGTGCAGGGCGCTGCCTCTTTCAAACGAGGCCCCAACAACACAGGACGGTTGGGGGCGAAATGTAGGGGGCGGCAGACTCGCCGACAACGGCGCAAGCCCAGCAATATGCCCTTCTCGCTCACGTCGCGTGAGAAGGCAACGCCGGGCGCGATGGCCCGGCCGCCCGCCTGGTCGACAGAGCCCGCGGCCACGAGGAGCCGGGGCTCGAGGTTCCAGTCGCCCGAATAGATTCAGGGAGCGCGGGGCGCGAGCGGGGGCCCGCCGAGCTTGCGGCGCCGACTGAGGCCGCGCCCCGCCATGCCGACGGAGGCCACCGCGCAAAAGGAAAACGACACAACATGACAAGCCTTCGCCACGCACCAGTCGAAACCAGCCCGGCCAAGGCCTGCCCCCCCACGGCCTTCAGGGCGGATGTGCCCCTGGCCTCGGCATGCGACTCCACCTCCACGCGCGGGCGGCCTCTCGAGAAAAAACGCGCCCCCGCCCTCGCTGGCCCGATCGGCGTTGGCCTTCGAGGTGGGGCGCCCCGATGGGCGCGCTGCATTTCTGAGGAGACGAAGAGCGCGTCGTCGAGCACGAGCACCCCGCTGGCGTAGCTGCGACTCACCCACATGAGTCTCCACGCGCCACACTCACTCCCGCAACTTGTCGCGCTCCTCCAGAGATGTTCAAGCTCCGTCTCCCAGGGCGGGCCACCCTTGGCGCCGCCCTTGGCCGTCTGGAAGGCCGCCTGCGCCGCCGCGAACTTAGGCGCCGACAATTTGGCCGCCCCCGCTTGGACCTCCGCAGACGGCTCCTGGCGCGCTGCTGAGGCCCCTCTTGCGCTGCCTGCCCGGCTGCTCGTCGCCCGGCGGGTTCCTGGGCCGCCTTCGGCGAGGGCGGCGGCGGCAGGTGCCGCTGCGGGGCCGCCGGCAGGGGGTGCCTGAGGCGCGGCGCCATCTACAGAGGCATGGCCAGCTTCGTCACCGCTGGCATCAGCTGCGACGTCAGCTGCCCCGCCATCATTGGCCTTCCGCTTCTCGGCGGCCAGCGATGCCCGTCGTCGCCTGCGCAGCCTTGTCCAGCCAGGGATTGGCCACCGCGTTTCCCTTGGTGATCGAAGGACTACCTCATCTTGAGCACCTCCGCGTGGATCTGCTACAACTCACTCTTCTCCGCATCCTCGCACTCCAGGTCGTCGAAGTCTGCGAACAGGGCCTCGCCCCAATTGGCCGAGAAGGCCTGCGCCTTGGGACCTTTTGCGGCCTGGGACGAGACCCCGAAGCCCTCGGCGCGCGCAACTGCCTCCGCCGCTCGACGTTTGGCAATATCCGCCGTCGCCAATGCTAGGGCAGCAGCCTGCTCCTTGCTGGCGGCCGTCTCCAGGACGCTCTGAAGACGCGTAACGTTGGCAACGGCTTGATCACACTTGCGATTGCAATCCCACCAACAACCGCCCGCCCACTGGAAGCTAGACGACGCAGTCTACTTGGGCGACTCCGGGGGCGCCTGTAGCAGCTTGATGCGAGATTTCAGGAGGCTGCGCAGCACAGGGTCTGAGGACTGGTCAATGGCTTCGGCTAGGCGACGCTTCGCGGATGATGGCGCCCCCTTGGTCGAGCTGCGAAGTGGCCAGGCATGCGCTCCCTCGCCCACGCTGATGACCTCGATGACCTCCTCCTTGTCTGAAGAAAGGACGCGCGATTGGGCGAATGAGAACGAGAGGGAACTCTTTTCGGCTGGTCGAGCTTGGCTGGGCGGCCACATGCACGCGCGAAGCAAGTAGTGCTGATGCCATCGCCAGAAGAGCAGGACAAACAGGCAATTCCAAAACATGCGTAACAACTGCACAAGCCCACAGTGTGAGTGTCCCTTGCCACCAGACAGCGTGCATCTATAAAAAACACCAGACGCAAGAAAGGAACGTTGGTGGTCATCTGCCTTGCTTGCCCTGCGGGCCTGGGCCAGGCTCAGCCAACATACAACTAAGACCGCGCACTCGTTGATGTGGAGAGACTCCGATAACTATGGGGGCCCGAAAAAATGCGAGGGCGAAACATGTACTGTGCTGCTACTTGCACTTCTCATCGGATGAACTGGTTCCGGGCGGGTGTGAGACGGGTTTCGCTGAGGCTGACCAGGGAGCCCCACCGCCTGGTTCAGCGCAGCAAGGACATCTAGCGAAAACTGGATGGCCGCCCGACTGCCATCAGTTCCGCAGTTTGCGTGTCCAAATGAGGCCAGCTGCATCCCATGGCGCATGTTTTTTTTGTGTTATATATATATACATATATATATATATAATATATTAATATATATATATATATATATAAAAAAAACACGAGACCGCGGCGCCCTTGCGGGGAGCGGAGAGCACGCCGAACGTCTCCTCCGCCCTCCCCTCCGACTCCTCCTTCACGACGGCATTGGGCGAGCCCCTGGGATGCTCTCCAAGGCCTACATCAGGGGCACCGACAGGAGCTTCCACCTCCACCTCGCCGCTCGCCTGCCACGCCTCGCCACCCTGCCACAGTGCAGCTTTCCTCTGCATGTGACCCAATGATGAAACTGCGGGACGCTGAGGGGCCGATGCTGCTGCCAGCGACGCGCCAGCCTGCTCGCCCTCAGGCGCCAAGCCTGGATGGGGTTCAAGACGGCCTCCAGCAGCTGCACCACTGGGCTTGCCAGCCAACACCTGGCGGAGCGCATGGGCGATGCTCGTCAGGCCTTGGCCCCTGTGCCGTTCCACCTCCGTGGTGGCGTGCAGGAGCCGAATGGCTGCGCGCCCTTCAGCACGTGCGTACTGAGCGCGGCGCTCAGCAGCCGTGCGATTGGGCCGACGGCGCCGCGGCGCCTCGCGAGGAGGAGGAGGAGGAGGAACATGGAGGAAGGAGGGAGGAAGGAGGAACGAGGAGTGAGGAAGGATGAAGGACGCGAGGGGAGAAGGAAGAGGAAGTGGATGAGGAGGAGGAGGAGGAGAAGGAGGAGGAGAATGAGGAGGAGAAGGAGGAGGAGGAGGAGAAGGAAGGAGGAAGGAGGAGGAGGAAGAAGAGGAGGAGGAGGAGATGAGGGAGGGAGGAGGGAGGAGGGAGAAGGGAGGAGGGGGGACGGAGGGGTGAGAGGAGGAGAAGGAGAAGGAGGAGGAGTAGGAGGAGGAGGAGGAGCACGAGGAGGAGGAGGGGGAGGATGAGGAGGGACGAGGGGAGACGAGGAGGGTGGAGAAGGAAACAGGAAGGAGGAAGGATGAGGAGGGAGGAGGAAAGAGGAGGAGGAGGAGAAGAAGGAGGAGGAGGAGGAGGAGAGAGGACGGAGGAGGAGGAGGAGGAGGAGGAGGAGGAGGGAGGAGGAGGAGGAAGGGAAGGGGGGATGAGGAGGAGAAAGAGGAGGAGGAGGAGAGGAGGAGGAGGAGGAGGAGGAGGAGAGGAGGAGGAGGAGGAGCACGAGGAGGAGGAAGGAGGATAATCAGGATGCGCCACCACCTGGAGGTCCGGGCCTGCGTAAGACCCGTCTGTCATGCTCAGCAACGTGCGGGACCTCAGGGCCCTCGGCCTGAGCACATGCAACGAGCCCGAGCCCGAACCCGACACGACGAGGGACTCGGACGGGCCGGTGTCGAGCGCCCTGCCGTGAGAGTTCTCGAACTGAACGTGGCCCTGGCGGGGAGGAGGAGGAGGAGGAGGAGGAGGAGAAGGAGGAGAGGAGTAGGAGGAGGAGGCGGAGGAGGAGGAGGAGGAGAAGGAGGAGGAGGAGGAGGAGGAGGAGGAGGAGGAGGAACAGGAAGAGGGAGGAGGACAAGGAGGAGGGGGAGGAGGAGGGAGGAGTAGGGAGGAGTAGGGAGGAGGAGGGAGGGGAGGAGGTGGAGGAGGAGGAGGAGTAGGAGGAGGAGGAGGAGGTAGGACCAGTGTGAACACAACACTCTTTTGACTAAGATCAACCCACCCCAACCCGAAGACCAGAATTTGACCCGCATTTCGGGTTTGGGGTGGTAGGGGTTCCATGTGTTTTTCAATGTTCCCCGACCCCCCCCACTGGAAATGGAGGGCTAATTGAGGCATTCGGGTTGGGTTGGGGTGGTTTGGTGGGTGGTGATCTTCTGCACTAGACCCTACAAATTTCCTCTTCGTACGTCCCTGCACATCTTCACTTCTGTTGAGGGACGTGCCCCGATGGAAATCAACCGTCTGCACATCCTGAACCGTGCCTGAATACCGAATACCATTCCTTGGACTTCGACAGCGCGAATCAATGTAACTGTTACGTCCTGGCCGTCACCATTCCTGGGGCGCCAACCGTATGAATATGTGAGCATGTTGTAATCTCTTGCCACGGATGTGCGCAACGCTAATGCAAGACCACATGTTGAAAACGAGTCGCCCTCCATCCGTGAAGCCCCTGCGGAATTTTAAGATGAAGGGGCGCGGCGCTAAGGCGAGATCCACATATTGAAAAAGACCCGCCCTGCGTCCGTGAAACTCTGGCGAATGTCTAAAAAGAATGTGCGCGGCGTTGAAACGAGAACCGTAATTGGAAAACGGCCCGCCCTCCATCCGTGAAGCTGTTGCATCGTGCAATCGTAAGGGTCATAATTGGTGAGGTAGTCCCAATGAACCGGCCGGCCGCACTACCAACACGTCTCAGGGTGCGACAGGGAGGAGTTGTCTGAGTAAAAAAAGGAGGTGGAAGCGGAGGAGGAGGAGGAGGAGGAGGAGGAGGAGGAGGAGGAGGAGGAGGAGGAGGAGGAGGAGGAGAGGAGGAGGGAGGAGGAGGAGGAGGAGGAGGAGGAGGAGGAGGAGGAGGAGGAGGAGGAGGGACGAGAAGGAGGAGGAGGAGGAGGAGAAGGAAAACGACGAAGGAGAAGGAGGAAGGAGGTGAAGGAGGAAGGAGGAAAAGGTGGAGGAGGGAGGAGGGACGAGGAATGAGGAAGGAGAGAAAGTAGGAGGGAGGAGGAAGAGGAGGGAATGAGGATATGGAGGAGGAGGGAGGAGGAGGGAAGAGCAGGCGGAGGAGGAGGAGGGAGGAGGAGGAGGACGAAGAGGAGGAGGAGGACGAGGAGGAAGAGGAAAACGACGGAGGAGAAAAGGGAGGGAGGCGAAGGAGGAAGGAGGAAAAGGTGGAGGAGGGAGGAGAGACGAGGAATGAGGAAGGAGAAATTAGGAGGGAGGGGGAAGAGGAGGGAAGGAGGAGATGGAGGAGGAGGGAGGAGGAGGGAAGAGGAGGCGGAGGAGGAGGAGAAGGAGGAGGGAGGAGGAGGAGGAGGAGCACGAGGAGAAGGAGGAGGAGGAGGAGGAGAAGGACGAGGAGGAGGAGGAGGGGGAGGAGGAGGAGGAAGAGGGAAGAGAGAAGGAGGAGGAGGAGGAGGAGGAGGAGGAGGAGGAGGAGGAGGAGGAGGAGGAGGAGGAGGAGGGGCGCGAATGAGGAAGAAGGGGGAAGAGAGGGACCAGGCTCCCTCCAAGCTCCCTCCCTCCAAATTCCTTACTATGGGCTCCTTATTTTTTTAATTTCGGGGAACCCAACTGGAAGGCAACAGGCTGAAAATCTTCAACCGTCCCAAAACACCACGCTTAGAAAACGAACTGCCCTCCACCAGTGAAGCTCTTGTCATTGTAATACTTAAAAGAGGGTGCGCGCGGCGCCGATGCAATAACCACATGTTGAAACGGCCCGTCCTCCATCTGCGAATCCCGTGCGAACTGTAAAACGAGTGTCCGCGGCACTAACGCGAAAACCAGAATATGATAACAAACCGCCCTCCATCCGTGAAGCCCTTGTAAACTTCCAGCGTCAGGATCACACATATTCAAAACCTGTCAGGCAAAACGTCCAGGCCGCCGTACCGATCCGTTTCCGGGCACGACAGGGAAGAGTTATTACTAAGAGAGAGGGATGGAGGAGGCGGAGGAGGCGGAGGAGGAGGGAGGGCAGGACAGGACAGGACAGGCCATCCGCGTGAGGGGGTAAACGTCGAAACGCCCGCTGAGGAGCCGCGGGGCGCGACTTGCAAGATCCCCTGCGAGTGGAATTTGCCGCGCCGCGGGCCCAGAACTCTCATGGGGCCGGCAGGGGCGTGCCCCGATGCTCTAAGCAGCGAGCTCCGAGAAGGCACCGCAAGAGAGGCTCGCTACCTTGCGAGTGCGAGTCCCTGCGGGCCACTGCGGGGGGAGCAGCTGCCAGTCTCCTCGCGCGCCCCCTCCTCGGGGAGCGCGCTGGGCGAACAGGGCCCCCACGCATGGGGGGAGGAAGACGACGCGACCACTCCACGGCGACAAAGGAGGAGAGGAGGGAGGGAATGCAGGAGGCCCCGCTTCGTGCCAAACTTATGCTGGGGGGCCCAATTACTGTTCTACCAAGGTCCTGCGGGGCCCGCGCTTCGAAGAGAGTCCCTCCCTCTCTAGACTCACTTCGTTTCCTGGACGTGCTGGTCGATGGCCAAAACCGTGCAATGTAGTGTTCGACGTATCCCTGTGCTGCGATACGCTGCATCCAAATTCTCTGCAATAGTCAAACCTCTGAAATGGCCCTTTCCAGTCGGAGTGTAGGCAGGGGCGAGCAATACCACCATGGTCGCGGCGTGTGAGAGGCCTCCATATCTGTGATGCTGGTCATGTCCCACTGTCGTTTCACGGCGGGTTAACACCTGCTTTACCAATCTTGCGTGGGGTGGGCGTCGGAGGGGCTAGATGTCGCGGGGTTCTTCAGGAAGCCTTGAATGAGGGACCCTTAGGGAGCGCTCCAATGGTCTCTGTGGGGGCCCTCGTTTTCAATTTGTCGTCCCAGTGGTGTTGTGCCCATCTGAATGCGTGCAGTATCCTGTCTTCTTGCGCCGCCTGTCGGTGCTCGAAGTAGACGCTTATGTCGGCGCAGGCCCCGCTGGCCTGCATTCCGAGATGCCCTCGCCAATGCGGCCGCAGGCGCGAGCGGGCGCGCTCGCGCGCGCCCGCTGGAGCTAGCCGCTCCCCCTGGAGAGGAGAAGGAGGAATGGGAATGGGAATGTCGGCCCACGAATAAAACATGCGCCTTGCACCTGGTGGGGTGGGGGTGGGGGGGGCGCAAAGGGCCCCGGCGGGCGGCCAACTCAGCCCTGCTGCGGACTTCGGGCCGCGCGCCTCGGTAAGTTCGGTTCACAATGATCCACCCCCGTCGGCGCGGCTCGCAACGCACATGGTTTATGAAACTCACTCGCTATATTGCTGAAAAAAGAACCACGCGCCTTGCAAAATCACAGCTTCTGAGCGGAGCACAAATCCATGATGCAACTCCCGCGGGTCCAGCCCCCCCGCTAAGCGGAGCGCATCACCAATGGTCTCAGCGTAATACCGACCAGTTGGGGCCAGAGGCTTGAAGCGCGGACTCGCTCTCAACTGACTAGCTGCGGCCAGCGTAGCTCGCCCAAAACATCACAGGCAACCGGGGCCACCTTCGCCCAAGGAACGGCCGGCGGCAACGTCGGCCGCAGCGGAAGGGGGGCAGGAGGAGGAAGAGGAGGCGCGTTCTTCCTCGGAGCCTCTCCCGCCCAGAAGCAGTCGGGCCAGATTACTGACGCATTCGTTTGGGCCGAGCAGGCATGATGGAAGGTCCCAGGACTGGCCGAGCTGATCACCAGTGGGGAGTTCGAGCTCGACTCGACAGCACTAAATCCAGCCAATCCCTAGCCAAGAAACCACCCACGGCAGATTCGGAACGAACGTTTGGAACGTTCGGCGAGAAGGGAACTTCAGTACCCAGGGGGCCCCGACGAGGGCCTGCGCCCGAGGGCGCAATCGCTCAGGGGAAGAAGTCTCCGGGGCTACCCGCTCGGCTTGGTTTGGGGGAGCTGCCAGCGGAGTTGCTCAGCTAAGAAAACCCCGGATTACCAGATCTGCGGAGCGACCCCAACGAGTCATGAAGAGAAGGTATGAGGTGGAGCCTATCTACCCGCATTGCGGCTTGCGCGACAATGTCCACCGCGGGTCGCGGCTTTGCCCGCGTGTTGACCCAAAGGGGGAACGCGTTGATCAGGCGATGCTGGATGCGGCCAGAAAACCTGCTGGCAAGGGCTCCTTATACACTATGCTCTGGCCCCCCGTGCCTGTCTTTCAGGAGTTGCCACCTGAGGAAAACAACATTGACTAAGGTTGACTGACTCGACATGGCTGGGGGGATTGAAGGGGTTCGACTTCGCGTGCCCCGCTCAGATACACATCGATGGCTGTTGTTTGGAACCTGGAAGTACCTTCATTGGCCCGCGCGAGCTGGTCGCCCATGGAAATCACCACTGGGCGCGATCTCAGGACAGCCGCTCTGCTTCCACAGCAGAAAAACAAGTTCCCCCAAAGTGCTGCGTGGGCCGAACCGCATGGGCTCATCCAGGCTCTCTGTCACCTCTGGCGGGACCCCAATAAGCCCGATGGCGAGGCTGACCTCGTCGCAGATTGCCCGGCGGCGGGCGCGGGCTGCGTTTTCTTGCGGGCTCTGGGCGGCGCCAGAGACCAGAGAATCAGTTCACAATCTGCAACGTTAAAATCCATCAGACACTCCAGCGTGGAGACCGAGAGTGGACCGAACGTCTCCGAGTCGTTGGGAATGCCTGGGCGGACCCACTGCGTAGCGACGCTGGCCGTTGATTCGCGCGCCCCCATGATGCCGAGGATTGTAAAGACCCTCTGGAAGGCTGATTTGCCGTGCTCAAAGCTGCTGCGCCCGTCCTTGAGCATCGCCCAGCTGCCCGCGAAATACGCGGCACCCTGCGCGGGGGGTTCAATAGTTCGGTGCCGCCCCCGCCTAGAACCATAGGCAGCGCGCTGCGCCGTGGAAGGGCCGGCCGTCTCTGGCCGTGCCTCTCTTGCGCCGCGGGCATCAGATCTCCGCCTCCCCAGGTGCGCAAGTGCGTTGCCCCCCCCGCCTTCTGGGGCCCTGGTCCGCGGCGCTGGCCGCCCCTGTCCAGGCCGTGCGCTACGGGGCACCATCTTCGAAAACATAGCGCCGCAGCCATCCCGTGTGAGAAGGGCGAGCGATGAGGATGCAAGGTCCTTGGGATGCCGCGCCGGCACTTTGCGAGCGGGGCGCGGCCGGCGAAGGCGGCCGAGGATGGGCCGAAGGGGAATGGTGCTAGGGCAGCGATGGAACATAGCTCTGCTGTACTTCGCGGGTCGACTGCACCGTTCTTTACGGCGCCGGGCGCGGGCCCCGCCTCGCCGCGACCCTCGGGCACCTCCAGGGGCCGCGCAATGCTGTTCGGCTTGCTCAGGCTCGCTGCTCTCGCCGAAGTGCCTGGCCGCGGCCCAGAGGCGCGCGCCCCTCACGCCCGCGGCGGGCCCTCCGCGGAGCTGCCTTGCCTGGCGGTGGGAGGGCCAGGGCAGGACGGCCCCTCTCTCCCCCGCGGAGAACCGAGGGCCCGCCGCCCCCCCCCCCCCCCCCCGGCGCTTGCGCTTGCGCAGAGCACTGGCGGGCGGCCAACCGCCCGGACTCAAACCTGCGCATGCCGGCAGAGCATGCAGAGAGACAAATGAACGGGCGCCCCTCCTCGGAGCAAACGACGGGCAGACGCACAGAGCAGCCGAGAGGGCCCCCCCCCCGGGCCGCCCGCCACCCCTCCGGGGCGGGCGGGGCAGCCGTCGGCGCCGCCCCGGCTGCGAGGCGCGGCCGAGGCCCCGCGGCAGGAGAGCGAGACCCCCCTTGCCGCCCGGGTGGAAGCGGGGCACGCTCGCGAGTGCTCTGGCCGCTGGATCGGGGCGGGCCGCGCTGCGTCTTGGGCGGAGGGCGGCCGCCGCGAGTCGAACTCGCGGCGGGCCCCCGTCTGCGTTGCCCAGCCCGGGGCCGAGCTGCGCGGGGGGGGCGCGGGGCCCGTCCGTGCCGTCGTTTTGACCTCGAGGCCCGTCGGGCGCGGTCCTGGCGCGGCTTTCATCGTCGCATGAATGGGCGAATGAGGAGTGGGGGCGGGGGGGGGGGGGGGCGCAGGGGGGAGGTCGGGGGGAGGCAGGGGGAGGAGGAGAGGTAGGAGGAGGAGGGGAGGAGGAGGAGGAGGAGGAGGAGGAGGAGGAGGAGGAGGAGGAAAGAGGAGGCAGAGGAGAGAAGAGAAAGGATGGGAATGGGAATGGGCATGGGGCGCTCGCGCGGGCAATCGCCAAGGCCCCTTAAGGGCGGACCGGGCGAGGCCGTGGACTTGCAGACATGGCCGGCCAGCTGGAAGCTTACTCAGGCGGCCGGCTCCACAGAAAAATCAGGAGTGGAACACGTGACAAATTGCGCCTCCAGTTCAGTCCAAGTTGAATCGTCGGTCGCCAGTTTAAGCCAATCGATGTTGTTCACGTCGTAGCTGCTCCGGGCGGGTCTCTCTTGCACACGTCAAAGTTGCCAAAGACCGCAGTCACCGCGCGTTTGCCCTGGACGTGGTAGGCGGTCGCTGACGTCATGGTGTTGCCGAGTGGTTCTGGAGACGTTTTCCCCCGCAGTTTGGCCACCTCACGTTCCAACTCGTGTAACTTGTCCCCAATCATGGAGGTCGTGCTGCGGGCTGCCCCGGAAGCTGCCGATAAAGGTCTGGAAGTTGCATCTTTAGTCTCCATTGCTGCCACACGCAAAGTAAGGTTGTCGACAGCCGATTGTAAAGGTGATATCCTCTTCGTCAGATCATCATGAGAAACACCATGTCGCTTAATCGCCGCAATGTCAGTCTTAATCGGCTACAGCTGCTCCTGCAACATGCGTGGCAACATACCTGCTCTTAGGGTGGCATTGTCGGAAGCTGCGATTTCCAGACGCTCTTGAAATTGTGCCTGTTGTTCCTTGGTGCCGTCGTTCACGCTTCCGACGCCATCTGCGGCAATTCCGGCTGCGTCGTCCAACCCGTCCATCTCGTGCAGCGGGCTGTTAGTCCTCAAATGCTTTGCCTCTGGCCGCGTTGGGGTGCTGAGAGAATGACGTTCCAGTATCCCCGCCCAGAGTGGTGGCAAGAGAAAGCGGAATAGATTGTAATAGAAAGTGCGAAGGGAAGTATGCCAAGGATGAGATGAATCTTGAGCCAAGTATTCTTGAGCCAAAATGGCCAAGGATGAGGTGGGGGGAGGGGCGAAGGGAGACATTTCCCACGCCCGCGAACGGAACGCAAGCCGGCAACGAAACCGCCCTCAGGCGGACATCCCAACATCACCCCCCACGGCGACCAGCAGGAGACGGACAGAGAGGCTTTCCCACTTTACGGCCCCGGCCCGTGGAAAGCATGGACGACCCACGCAGACGCAGTCAAAGGTCAAAGTTGACCAGCCGAACCCGCACAGCCCACTTGCGGCAAATCAGGAGGCCCCCCCTGGTCGCCCACAACACGAGGAGATCCTCGCGATCGGATCGGCCTAGCGGCGGCCAGTCAGTGCGCCACTTCCTCAGTCCATACATCTTGCTTCACTGCAGACAGGACCGCCGGCTGCTGCACGCCCACTCCCATCTCTACTCGATCCTTGAACTGACACGTGCGCACCCACCGTGAAGATATAGAATCAGCACAGCTGGTGGTATGGGACTCGATCTTCTCTTGGCATATCTACAGCGTGAACATCAGTGGCGACTACGATCCGTGTGGGTCCCCACGGGGTTTTCTCACCCACTCGAGCTCACACCGTTACAGTAAACGCGTGGGTCCCCGAGGGGCTTCCTCACCCACGGCGTCTGAGGGCTCCACCAGTCTGCACTCCCTACTGGCTCAACTTCTTGTAGCCCCGACTCCCCCCACCGCTCCCACCTAACCTCCACCTTCCCCCCCTCTTGTGGTGGGGTATGGGCCAGGTATGTGCGCGGGAGGGGGTCGGACTCACCGCAGGCCGTCCTGGCAAGGGCCAGCGCGGCCGCGGCCGCCACTAGGGCAGCTGCCATCAGGGCGACAACTCAACTTCGCCCCACCTGTCAGGACTGCCCTGCAGGGCACCCATCCACCCCACCGCCACCAGGGCACCTCCTTCTATTCACCGGGTCACCGCCGCAGATCGCAGACACCACCCCCGCGCACGGTAGAACCCCCCTCCTACTCCTGCCTCGGAGGGGGAGGGTACCAGTCGTGGAGGTGGTGGTTGCTTAGGGGGCTTCCTATGTGCAGGAGGTGAGGCCTTGCTGCCATGTGCTCTGACGAGTGTGGCCGGTGCTGCCTTGCACCGGTGGGAGGGCCCATGCCTCCCTCAAGCTTGGTGGAAGCCCCCAAGGCGGCCAAGAGGCCGACGTGCTGGGAGCCCTACACCTGATCCCGCCGTCGGCCTCTGGAACGCCTGTGGGGGATTCGTACGAGCAGAGGGAAAGGCCCTCGGGCCCTCCCAGAGCGGCGCCCCAAACGGCCCCGCGGAATAGTCTCGCCATCGCGCCACTTCCAATCGTTCATCTCTGCCACCGCACCTCCACTCGCTTACCTTACAGCCCCCTGCCGCTCGCCGCTGGCCTGGCTTTCGCACGCCCTTTTCCGCTCACCAGCCACCTCACTGCCTTCTCCCCAACGCTCAGCCTTCTCACCCACGATTTGGCGACCCGAAGGAGAGAGGACCCGGCTCAGCCATAGGAAAACCGGCCCCTAGGGGCCCCGCCCACCTTTTCACGGCCGCCACGCCAAAGACTCGCTGCAGCCACTTCTACCTCTTCCCCCCTTCTCCTGAGGTTATGATTATGTGGATGTGATGCTCTACCTCTTCTTCCTCCCTCCTGCTCTGCTGGACCACGGTCTATAACTTTCCTGGTTTTGTTTCACTCCCCCAGGGGGGGGCGACTGGGCCTCCCTGCGGGAAGCGGCAGCGTTCGAAGAACAGCATTGCCATCAGTGCTTCAGGAGAAGGAGGAGGAGGAGGAGGAGG